CCATACAGAAATCAGTCCTTATAAAGGAAATTATTCTGAGCAGATGGCTATATATGTACCCAGGAACATTTACCAATTGTTCTTGATATGGATAGCTAGAACATAGCTAGAAGTATCTTTATTGTTTTTTCTTTGAAGCCGTTTCATAATAAAGTAGTAGAATAACATTTCTCCAGAGAGAAGCTTGTATATTCAGTCAAAGAAAGAAGGATATGTACATTAATGTATTTCACTTTAGTTTTATTATACATTAATATTTTTAAAAATCTAGCTTAGCAATATAACCTTCTGTGGTTGCATATTATTTTCCTCATTGTACACAAATAAAGTCTAGTCATTTCCCATATTGGCAAAATAGCAGACTACTTTGAAAAAACTCATGAAATTTATCTCCTCCCATCAGGATTTTTCTGAAAAACAGGTATGAACACAAGACTCCTCCTTTTCCAGTTTGTCTAGTTTCTAGCATCCTGATAACAGAGATACTATTTTTGTATTTCTGTTGATAGTCGTTGAGAGAATCTGACTATTCCTTAAAAAAATATTTTAGCTTTTGACCAAGGTTCCCTAAGGTATGTGGCTGCATGAGCACACACAGCTCTGCTGCCCTTTGCACAGGGCTCCTCCTCCTCCATGCACCCACAGTGATTGTTTCTGGCCCCTTTGGTTCTGGTTGTAATGGAACGCCATGTTGGAGTGGAGTTGTGCATTGAGGGGAGCAGAGTCATGTACAAGAGGGATGGAGACTTGCATAGTGGGGCTGAAAATTAGAGGGAATGTTGTTTTTAACCAGTATTGCATTTACAGTGGTGCCTTGACTTACGAATGCCTTGACCTACGAATGTTTTGAGTTACGAACAGCTCCATTCACAAAATCGTGCTTTGACTTGCGAACAGAACTTTAACTTACGAACAGAAAAACGGCTGGGGGAAAGGGAGGGAAATTCAAATAGCTAACTGTAGGTGGCGATGAGGCTGCTTCTTTGTAGCTCTTTTGCCCAGGCAGTTAGAGAGTGTGCGATCCGAGGAGGCTGCCTGCTAAGGTAAAGTGCTGCTTTATACTTTTTAAAAACTGTTCTGGGAATTTTTGCAGTGTGATTTTCGGCTTGGGGGGGTTATGTTTCCATGCTGTAATGGGTCTGGGGGGTGTTTGTTTTCCCCCCCATTTCCAATGGGGGGTTGGTTTGGAGTGCTTTTTCCCATTTCTGATGGGTCTTGGGGAATTTGTGTTTTTTTGTTTCCCCCCCATTTCCGATGGGTCTTGGAGGTTCGGTTGCTTTTGGGGGTTTCTCCCATTTTCGATGTGTCTTGCATGCTTTTTGCTTTGTTCTCTTTGCATTTCTGATCTCCTTTTGCTTTTGCAATTGTTCATGCATGCTTCCCTTGCTTTTTGCTTTGTTCTCTTTGCATTTCTAATCTACTCTGTTTGTTTTCTGTGCTTTTGCAATGGTTCCGGCATGCTTCCCTTGCAAATCAGAAAAGTTTTTGCAAGGGTCTGTGCTGGCTTGGTTTAAAAAATGTGTTCGTGTAAAATGTGTAAGTTTAAAATGTGTTGGTTTAGCATGTGTTTTAGACTCCAAACTCTCTCCCTCCCTCATTGTCTTCTCTCTCTCTGTCTCCCTCCTTTCCTGCCCTTTTTAAAAAACCTACGTCATCTTAGGTTAAAAAAAGAAAAATTATCCCCCAAGTGGTAGAGGACAGATTAACTGGTTTTGCATTAGTTTCTATGGGAACAAATGCTTTAACTTACAAACCGTGCCTTGACATAAGAACAAAAAACAGCCGGAATAGATTAATTGGGTTTCAGTGCATTCCTGTGGGAAATGCTGCTTTGATTTAAGAACATTTTGACTTAAGAAAACCATTCCAATACAGATTAAGTTCGTAAATCAAGGCACAACTGTATTTGGTGGAAATACGTGATTGATACGAAAGTGGTTTTCAAATTTCATCCCTCCAGATTTTTTAGACCCCACTTCCCAGAATCCCTGACTAATGACCATACTAGCTGGGGTCTCTAGGAGCTATTGTCAAAAACATCTGGAAGGACAGTGGTTGAAAAATCGCTGTGAAAGGGTATATTCAGCTTCATTTAGATTTCAGAATGACCTGTGATGGAAAAATTTTTTTGCTGCATCCATTATGTCTCTTTGCACAAAAGTGAAGATTTTCTTATTCTGGCAGACTCCTAGTCTGCTTGATATTCTGGGTTTTTGTGTCCCTGATGCTGTTTGTTTTATGTATTACCTGTTATCTTTTCTGTGTTGTGTATTTTATATTCTTCAAATCACTTTACTGATTATGTGGTACAAGCTATGTTGAGTATTTCTGTTTGAATAAGAAAGGCAGAACACAGATATTTTTAATGAATACTGTGAGGTGATTTGATAAACTATGAAATAATCATTTTTGCTCTAAAGCAGTGGTCCCCAACCTTGGGCCTCCAGATGTTCTTGGACTTCAACTCCCAGAAATCCTAGCCAGCAGAGGTGGTGGAGAAGGCTTCTGGGAGTTGCAGTCCAAAAACATCTGGAGGCCCAAGGTTGGGGACCACTGCTCTAAAGACATTGCAGTTTCATTGGATAATCCTTAAATTCTACTGTAGTATTAGAGAGGGAAGCATTCTCTTTCCACTCTTTCTACACCATCCATATTTTAGAAGCATCTGTTGCAAGATAGGGAAGCCTTAAACCTAATCCAGCCCCCAGCCCATTGGGTTCTTCCATCTAGCAACAGACATCTTCAGCCATTATCTCTAGTCAGGAATAAGAAGTGATTAAAAACGCAGTAAAGTTTTTCATTGAAATGGGCCTTGGTTTGCAAGCACCGAAAGTTTGGCATAAAATATATATATTGATTTCCACTGAACTGGCTTTTGTTTGCAGCCTGCAAACGTTTTACATGTCTGAAAGCTGTTGTGCTGAGGCAGATTGGCAAGTCTTATATTTAGCATTATCCACTTTATTTTGATGCTGCCCCACGGCCATAAACCCATCCAATGTGGGAGTGGTTCCCGAGCTCCTCCAAAAATGAGAGTTCAGTCCATGATTTAAAAAATAACTTCTGCCCTTGTTCTATTATCTGTTTTCTATACTTACAAAAATATGATTAATGTATTTAATATACTTTTTAGATGTGCTTCTTGTACTTTGAAAGCACAGCCTTTTTCTATACTTACAAAGCTTTGTGTGCTTTATCTTTTCCTCACTGAGAAAAACAAAAATATTCTACATCCTTCCTGGCTTCCTTAGCTGTCTGGCTGTGAAGCCATAAGTTGGGAATTCAGTTTCCAAGCCTCAAAAGGGCCCTGGAAGCTGGCGATTTCACCCCCGCTGGCCCCATGCGGGGGTGGGGGGAGCCTCACAAGGGTCTGAGTCTGCCTTCCAGTTAGGGTTGAGAAGTAAGAAGAAGAGGGTTAGTGAATTAAGCTGAGCGTGTTAGGAGAGAATTGTGAAGATTAAAATACAGTATATTGAACAAGCAGGAATGGAATTATAAGCACTATAAGAAATATTGATTAAAAGTATATAGCAGTTTGGAATAAAAGTGATTGCATACATAATCCTATCCTTGTTAATACCTGATAAAGTTCATATGTGAATTACCTTTATGATTTACTTGACAATAAAAGAATATTTGTTAATTATACCTCTGATTCCTACGTTCAATAACCCTTAGTTTTTGCAGCACCCGTGTATAACATAACTGGTATTAGGAGAATACCTGGTGGCAGCATGAAGGGAAAAGGGTGTGATCCCTTGTGAGAGCCAAATAAATAGGGGCAACAAGGACAGTCGCCACAGAGGGGTTGCATTTTCTGACAGAATTGCAAGGGTGTCACTATTTTTGGCCACGACTGTATATTGCTTTTACCGAAATTGTCAAAATACAGTGGTGCCCCGACTTACGAAATTAATCAATTCCGGAAGATGGTTGTAACTCAAAATGGTTGTAAGTTGAAGCACCATTTCCCATAGGAATGCATTGAAATGCAATTAATCCATTACGGCCGATGAAAAAAATCACCAAAAAACCCACAAAACACAGACCCATTGGAAACACAATTAATCTGTTCCAGCTGAAGGGGGGGGGAGAAAAGCAAGCAAAGTGTGCAAGACCCATCAGAAATGCAAAAAAGCAAAGCAGAAAGCACGCAAAGCCTTGTGCAAGACACATCGGAAATGTAAAAAAAAGCAAAGCATGCAAGAAATGGGGGGGTACTGAAAAATCAAACAAATGCCCCAAGACCCATTGGAAATGGTGAAAGAAAAACCCCCAAAGCAAACAAACCCCTCAAGACCCATCGGAAATGGGAGGGAAAGCAAACAAACACCCCAAGACTCATCGGAAATGGGGGGGAGCCAAAAAGCAACAAAAACCCCCAAGACCCATCGGAAATGGGAGAAAAAAATCCAAAAAACAAACCCCACAAGACCCATCACAGCACAGAAACATAACACCCACAGCCTAAAACCACACTGCAAAACCCACTCAGAACAGTTTTTAAAAAGCAGAAAGCAGCACTTTACCTTAGCAGGTAGCCTAAATCTAAGTTCACACACTCTCTAACTGCCTGGGTGAAAGAGCTACAAAGAAGCAGCCTCTTCACCTACCAATGGTTAGCCATTTGAATTCCCTGCCTTTTTTGGTTGTAATTCAAAGCTCCGGCTGCAGGTTGAAGCAAAATTTTGCGGCCGGAGCTGGTCATAACTCGAAATGGTCGTAAGTCGGGACATTCGTAAGTCAAGGCACCACTGCATAAGAGAGTCTTAAGAAATACCATACTGAGATTAAAATGCTTCTGTCATATAACGTATAGTGACTGTGATAATTCTGAAGAGTAACTGAAACTATCCTTTCTGTAGCCTCTAGATACATAGATCTGAAGGGTTTCTCACTTTGTTATATAGTCCATAATTCTTTTGTTAACTTTTTTTTCCACAGTAGAAATGTAAATTTGTCTGATTTTTAAAAATCTGTCTCTGTCTTCAACTCTTTAGGTGGCCCCGAACATTGGCAGGCATTACTGCATATCTGCTGTGCACTCGTTACTCAGCTGGCAGTGGAATATATACTGGCAGTTCTCAGGATGAAAAGAGAGCTTGGCGCAGATGTGATAGGGGAGGATTCTGGGCTGAAGAGGACTACTCTCGGTGCCAGTATGCAAATGATGCTACTCGAGTTCTCTATATGTTTAATCAGGTTATTCATGTTTTCCCTCTGTTTTGTTAAATTGTTTACAAATAAATTCTTAAAGGCTTTTTGTACTAGCTTACTAAAGAACACTTATCAATTCCTGAAGCAGTTATGCTGGGATCCAACTTGCCCTGTGTCTGCACCTAAGTAACTCTTGCCTCTTCTTGGATAAGTTGCTAATTTCAGCTCCAGTTGCAGTCTCTTTTATACTGTGTTAAATTCTGCTTCATAGGGCATTTGATTTCAGCTTCTCAAAATGGTAGGACTACAATAAGAAAGAGAAGTGAGAAAAGACCTGTATGTGCATGTGGATTGATTGATTGATTGATTGATTGATTGATTGATTGATTGATTGATTATCTTTTTTGCTTTCACATATGTGTTCATATGCCAGCAAGAGCTAAGGGAACATCAGCATGGTAAATAAAGTTGTTGGTTCACAACTGCCTTTCCGTTAGTGTGCCCTAATGTTAGATCATAGTAGTGGTATTCAAAAAATTAGATGCCAAAGCACACTAACCAGATTGCCACTGTTTAATCAGTCTGTGAGTTAGAATACAGTTTTGCTTCAAAATCTGTCCTTGGATACATTTTACAATGAATGCTATTTTATTCTTGTTGTGTGCAGTCAAGTTGCCTCCAACTTATGAGTGACCCCAAATGTCTTCTTCTCAGTTTGCATGAGCTGAGTCCTGCCCAGCTCATGTAAACTCAAAGATGTGGCTTCCTTTATATAGTCAATCAATTTAATTTAAAATTTAAAAATGCAGTTTTTGTCATGACTGCTGCCACACACATTCAGAGTTAGGCTCCAAGTCTTTCTGAAGAAAAGATGGCTGCCCGTGTTCAGCTTCTCTTGAAGAGATAGCATATCATCAGATCAGACCAGTCTTTGGAGGAATATTTGGCTCCAGCTTGAATGTATCCAGAAACAGGCAAATCAGCTAAAGATGGGCACGAACCTTGGTTCAGAGGTTCATGCTGGTTCATATACATGACAGTATGTAGGTGCCACATGTTCCCTCCCCCACCTCCCCAGCCAGTGACCCACTCACCAGTCAGAGCATGTTCTTCTCCTCCTCTTTGGCTGTTTTGACCAGTCCCCAGCAGGCACATGGGTTTGCCTGTCCTGCCTCCTTGTCAGCCAAGGAGGAGGGGCAGTGAAGCCTGGCTCCTGCTGGAGAATGGTTGAACAGCTGAAGAGAAGGAGGAGAAAGGAGCATACACCAACTGATGAGCAACAGATCCAGCCAGAAGCTGGAAGAAGGAAAGTGCCCATTTCTGATATCAACAGCGGAGTTTGTAGAAACTTGGAGTTAGTTGGTATTCTCTTTCCCTGCCAAGAATATTATAAGACAGCCCTCAGGTTGTCTGTCTGCCTACTTATCTAATTCATACTGTGCCTTTTTCCCACCAAAGGGGCCCAAGATGACTTACAGAAAACTTTTAAAATCCTTGCGAGGCTAACACATATATTGTTTGTTTAATAAAGTGTTTAGGGGGAGTTATTACACATCAGTGATGGAATGCAGTCTTAAAAATGAGCACATCTCATGAACCACTGAGTTTATTATCCTTAGTGATAACAGGCTGGAAATATGTGCTGTTCATTATATGTTTCTGTGAAGATTCTCAGTCATCCAGGTGAGATTACCTGGAAGTTGAGTCATGGCAACTGGACTTCTTTCTTATTAGGTTGAAACGTTTCACTACTCATCCAAGTAGCAGGCCAAATAAACTAGTAGGATGAGTAGTGAAACATTTTAACCTAACAAGAAATAAGTCCAGTTGTCATGACCCAACTTCCAGATTCATTATATGTTGTGGTTGAACTCAAGGTTTTACTAATAGGCCACTGTGTAATACTGAAAACTTATTTTCTGGTAACATACAAGCTTGCTTCGTTGTGTAGTAAATTATTATATATTATTCATTACATTTAGTCTGTTTTCAGCTTCTTTCTTTTTAGGATGAGGGTGGGATAAGTGTGGCACACAATCTGTTTTGCAGTTGCCTGCCCCCTCCAGCACCTCCATTACAAAAGGAAAAAGTTTATTGGAATTTTTTTTTCCCTACAGGAGTGGGGTTATTTTTTGTTTTGGGGTGCGAGGAGTCTCCCTGACCCCATTTTTAGTAGAAAGCAGAAGTGGCTATCTGGGTACTTCCACTTGTCTTCAGAGTCATTTACAGCATTTATAAACATAAACCACTTTCCACGTTCATAAATCTAAGACCAGATACACCAAGAAATACACAACTTTTTTCACCAGTGTTTAGAGGTGCCCAGAATAAAAATCAACATGCTTTGAAGTGTATAAATATTTGCCTTTATAGTTGATTGATTTAATTAATTAACTACTTTGATTTGTTTTGTATGTATAATGTATACGCTGTTTGCCCACAGATGCCACTGAATCTTACTAATGCTGTTGCAACAGCTCGACAACTGTTAGCTTATACTGTTGAAGCAGCAAACTTTTCTGACAAAATGGATGTAATTTTTGTGGCTGAAATGATAGAAAAATTTGGAAGATTTGCTGAGAAGTACAAAGAGGTAATTATTTAATGCTTAGGATACCATGTTAAAAATGTTCTTTCTAAAACTGAATTATGCTTTTTCCTAAGCTAAATAAGTCACATTTATTTCCAAACATTTTTCTCTAAGATCTTCTAAACATTTCAGAACAACTAAATTAGAAAACAATCTTGAATTAAATTTAGAGATAAATAAACCTCTGTCTATAATAAGACCAAAGGCTATCAATTAAAGCAGAGTAGCAAATGAGTCATAAAAAAAAGAAAATTTAAACACATTACAAAAATTAACAAATTAAATTGTTTGGCTGACAATAAACTTTGACATTCCATCCCTTTCGTCAATGATTTTATTACCTAGAGCAGCGATGGCAAACCTATGGCACACGTGCCACAGCTGGCACATGGAGCCCTTTCTGCCAGGACGCGAGCCATAGGTCACCAGATCGCTACTCCCCTGCATAGCCAAACCTGAGATGGTGGCTGCAACCCGTGCCCAGTAGTGGGACTGCAGCAAGGAGGTGCAGGTGGATACACAGAGACAGCAGTGCGACACCACAACTGTTTACAGCAAAGGGTGTTTTGCTGTGTGTTGCTAAAAAAAGCAGTGGTAGCAAATGCGGACACTGCTGAGGTTACCTTTGCCGAGCAAGGGAGAGGGACAGGAATAGAGGGTCATGGAGAGGAAGAGGAACGAGGCGCTTCCCCCTCCACAGAAAGGGAGCAGAGGGCTTCTTTGACCAGAGGAAGCCACACGTTCTAAAAATAAAGCTCCGCCGGAGGCACTCAGGCTCTCTTCTGATGCAACGCCCATTCCCTTCCTCCCATTGGAGCCAGCACAGACCTCCCAGTGCCCAGGCCAAAGTGGCAGCGGGCAGGGCAGCGGCAACTCTGGGCATGATTGACAGGGCATGCAGCCCACCACGAAGTCGGAGTAGTGGAGGAGCCGCCGTCGGGTGCCCTAAGGTTAAGGCAGAGCACCTATCAGCTGCGGTGCTGGCGCTTCGGCAGGCAGATCTGGAGCAGCTGCCGCTGGCAGCTGATCCGGAATGGGATCTTGAGGCACCTCTGTGCCAGGATTCCCCCTTCCA